ATGAGGATGCCCTTTAAACAGATATCAGTCACTCTGTGACCCAAGTTAAGGATGGTATTTTAAACTGCTACATTCTATTCCTTCTGCCCTGCAGGGAGCTGACACTCCAGCAGCTTTTGCTCCAGTGAACTGGCTTCTTTTCCTCTCAATCACTCCTAAAACAGCAGCTAGAGAGTACTGCTATGCAGTTAAGTGAAGTGCTTTCCCCCCCAGTAGGTAATGGCAGTCACCATCTGACTGCAGTCACCTTCAGAAAAGGCAGTCACCAGGACCACCCGGGATTCTCAGCATGCATGTAATGTAGCTACTGCAACCTGGCCCATATCTCTCAAAGAACAATTCTTGTGCACCTTAAGAGACTAACAGACTGATTATGGTGTTGGCTTTTACGAAATACACTAGTTGAAGTGGGCTGCAGTTCACCAAACCTTCTTCCATGAGAAATTTGTTCACCTTGAAGGTATCACAAGGCCCTTTGTTGTTTCTGTCACAACTGCTGCCTCTGGATGTCATTACCTTATTTCTCAACATTGTGTATGATCAAGGCCAGAAGCAGTTCAACACTTGTTTACAGACACAACTCGGCAAGAGAGCAAAAATCGCAGAGGAGTAGCCGTTTTAGTCTGTTGTGGCAAAATAAAACAGAAGCCTAGGGGCACTGTAAAGATGAACATTTATTTCAGCATAAGTGGATTCGCTGAAACTCATGATAAAAGTAACGATAATCTTTATGGGGCCACTGGACTTGTGTTTTATTAAGGGAGCAAAAAGTCTTCCCAACAAAGGACACAAAAGGGCAGGCAAAGCATTTGTAATATAACTGAAGCTTGCAGTCTGCCATCAACCTACAGAAATTTAAGTTTCCCCCCCTAAACCCTACCTGCACTAGGAGAAAGATCCATTTTTCCTACACTTCATGGAATACACTATTGCTGCCCTCCCGGCCTAGTGATGCTATTCATTTGTACAACACCTGGGGGGAAGCGATTTTTGCAAGCCGTCCCGCTACTAGAGATCCCTTGGAGCATTTCCCGTCTCTTCTCTACGATCCGCAGAAGCCCCTCCTCCCTTTTCACCCAAGAGCAAGTCCTTTTATGGAGACAGTCTCCGGCTCTCTCTACAGAGTGGAAGTACACCGTCAGAGGAACGTAGCTCTCCCCCCCTCCCGGAGCACCCTTCAAACCCACCGCTCAACACCCCCATCCCCGGGAATACCACATCACGAGTCCTGCCTTCTGCTGGTGGGTGCTTTAATTGGGGGCACCCGTTAAAAATCTCTCATCCAGACACATCAGCAACACAAAGCCAAGCAGCGCGGGAGGAGGGGGGGGGATTCGAGAGATACCAACATGCTGCTAAACTGCAAGGACCTCCGATAATTCACTCCACTTTCGCAGCTGCCTTGGTTTCAGGACATTACAAGCTCCCCCCCCCCCCCCCCCC